ATATGTCTTGATAGGTTTACCAAAATGACCTTCGAATAATTTTGACATATGAAGTAGAGAACGATTTGGATGGATTTAATGTGTGATAAACTATAAAATAATACGATAACGCCATGCATGTGCAATTGTGACTTTGGAAAAATGCTCGGGAAAAGAGAGTAAGAGAAAATATTTGAACGAGACATTGCTGTTTAATGGTCCGGGGGTTGCAGGATAATGCCCAAAGTTAATTAATAATTTGTTGCAATAAAATCATACGCCGTCACTTCTATTTCTATACACGATTTTTCAAAATGACATATATCTACATACACAACTCTTACAATTTTCTCATTCCAATTTTTTGCAATATCCTCATAATAAATACTCTGGGTATTTTCGATACGTTAACTTAATTCATATTAACTAACAAATGATTGTCTTTTTATACCCTATACCCCTTATGCGGATTTATGCACCACCCAAAAAGTCTTGAGATATATTCCTCCTTTCATAACACCGAAAATTAGAATCAATTTCTGAATCGCTTTAAATTTATCCGTCCGTATGTCCTTGTTTTCTAGTGTTAAAGGCCAAATTTTAGAGATATTTTGATGAAATTTAGCATATGACATGCTCTGGACTCATGCCACTGAAAGTGATTCGGATGGGGTTACTTTTTCGACTACTCCCCATATAAAACCTTATTTTGAGAAGTCGTTGTATGAAAACAAACTGCAATATTCAAAATTTTTTGAAAAAACTCGTTAAGCAATAGTACTTCGATATTCTAAATTGGCATAAAAAATGTGGTTCGGTTGTGGCCATTTTTAATGCCCTCCAACATATATGTATAATCCTTTCTAAGAGAGGTGAATATTCATATGGTATAGCACAGGTGAAATTGTTTCAAAATGACAAAGAGTTCAAGCCGAATTGTCGCATTTGGACCACATAGGCCTATTTTCCGTTGATCATCGCAAAAGGGATTGTCAGGGCCAGTAAACCCTTATATGCAAAAAGGCCTAAGTTTAAGTGGACGAAATTTGAACAACATGGGTCTACCTCTTGAAGCCTACTTCATATAAGACTCCTTATGAATTGTAGATCCTTTAGAAAAACCTTTAGATCCTTTAGAAAGTTGTAATATGTTTTTCGAACTTACGAAGCTAAAGACAGGCACATTAAGCAATTTTTTTCTTTTTTTTTTTTAGATTTCAATTTACATTGCCTAGACCGCTAGCCGCAATTGATATATAATACAATTACAATGAAAGAATATATATACAGACTAAAGATGCCTCTCGGACTCGAGTGTTGTCTTTTTTTAAAATATTATTCATAAATAATTTATTTTTTAATACTTAAGTATTGGCTTAATAACTTTCTTAAATATTAATAATTTATTGCCTCTCATTTTATAGCGAAAAAATGTTAAACAAATGTTTTTTAGACTCTGACAGCATCTATACTCCTTTAGTTCCTCTTCTTTTGTTTGTTCGTTTTGTCATTCGTACAGATTCGCTTTGAAAACAAAACTATTGTCCCCATTAACAAGCGGATCACTTAATCAGACTTGACTGTTTATTATGCGACAGAAATGCCTAAAAACAAAATATAATACGAACGCAGGCGTTTCGAACATTTTTTTTTTTTTGCGTTCTCTTCTTTTTGTTAGTCGCATAAACATTCATGAACACATATCAATATTAGATATGTGTTTATTCATACTTAGTTATTGCATTTTAATATGTGTTTATATTCAACAACAATGAAAACAGAAACTAAGTGCTTACTATCGTTATTCTATATAGTGAAATAAACTTTGACTATACACAGTATTATATAAAGTAGTTTCTGCTTTTAACCAAGAAAGAAAAAACTTTATGAGTGACGTGTGCGGATGACGTTCTCAAGCTAAACTGGGCTAAGCTTTTCTAAGCTAAATATTTATGTTTTGTTTCATGTGAGCAAAAATATAATATACATATATATATATATATATATATATATATATATATATATATATATATACATTTTATATAAATATGCTTATAGACCCGAACACTTATTGTTTAAAATGATGGAAAAGCAAAAGTTGCTTGAAGGATAAAAGAAAGCGAAAATTAAAATTCGTCAAAAATTATATATAAAGAAATTTAATTGATTTCCTTAAAAACATATTATATATGTCATTAATATTAGTAGTAATCTCGCCATTAAAAATATGTTAGTTAACCTCAATTTGATTATAAGAAACAAGCGTTAATTTAGCCGAAGCCAGCGATTATTGACGGCAAGTACTCTTCGTAGTTATTATCTAGAGCTGTTAAAATTCCCCACGTTTTTGAACTGAATAAAGTGATAAGCATACCTTGCCTGGTTAACGTGACAGTCAACCGCAACGCTTTTGAAGTATTCAAAGTTATTTATCAATTGAACGCTGCTAGAATCCATTTACAGATCTTTAAATACAAATGTGTCTGTAAAGTTATTCAAAAATTTTTCATCAACAAATTTTCTTAACTGAAAGAAATGTGATGCGATTTCGATAGATTACATGCGGGTATATATAATGTAATTAAATTATATAATCTCTTTTTTTCACTCTCTTTAAATATGTAATTCGTCTTGGTCTTGCAGACGCCGGCATTAGCTATAAGTAAAAGTGCAATCTTGCCAAAATACTTGATTGGAAGGTTTGCAGTCCTGCAAATAATTGCCGCAGCGATAAATTTTTTGGTTGATTTGAATTGCTCCTAAAGCAAAAGAGATAAATTATTATTAAGGGAAACTGAAAGTAGCTTTTGCCGAAGAAGCGGCAACGTTTAAATCAGTTAAAGGTATTGCCTGCAGTCATGGATAATGTTCGTGGCATTTTTGCCAACATATGGCTGTCGAGTCGTATACATTATTAACACTAACTCTATGTAGGCCTCGTATAGTGCGTTTATGTATAAGCCCACAGAATTATTGAGTGATGTGTTATGTAAGAAATATATGAGAACGAGATATTAAACAACCAATAGCGTAATTTATTATGAAGGAGCACTTACTTCTAACTTCTAATTTCCAAAGTTGTATTGCTTACACTACTTAGCATTGATTTAATTAATTATTTTGGAAATTTTATTGATCAGCGATAGTGAAAATAGTGCTTGCGTTTTGCTTGTCCGGGTTTGAGTCACTTGGTATCACATAACGTATTCCGATACGACCATGACAATAATAAAATCCGTGAATATTAATTTTGCACCAACACCAGCTTCTTAGTTTACGAAAGGCGCAAGTAGAAAGCCCCTCAGAATAGAGCGGATAGTCATAACTCATCCACTATAAATAATAACGATACATTGAGATATTCGTCAGCGCTACGAGGAGCTTTTGCTTCATGAACAATAAAACAAAGCAATATTCAATTTAGTATTTGCATCCCTAGTGCAAGCCCCACTACTGTGGCATGCACAGTTTACTGTGTTACTTGAAGACCAAGCCATCTGTCTGACATTGATATTCATTAAGAAGCACTTCTTCTTTTAAGCATAATTTTCAGAAAGTTTTCTTCGTAAACTTTTCGTATAAGAGAAGAAGAAATGTTCAATAATTTGCACCACTCTTATGTGCGTAGCCGTACGTGAGCGAATTTTTAACACAATTTCTAAATATTACATCAAGATCAAAGTGAATTCGTTACAATTTGCTATGTGCTTTTCAAATATATAGACTTCCTTCCAATTGAAGGAAATAAATTTTCCCAAAATCTAAATATATCTTCACTCTATCTTTCTCAAGTTAACTATTCTAATAACTTTTCCCTTTCGGCCTTTGCGACTATCTCGAAGAGCAGCCATTCATCTTTCCTCTCGCAAAGATTTTAAAACGAAAAGGAAATAATTGCCTCAATAAAACTTTTCTCTTGTCTTCTATTCGGTTATCACAAAAAAAAAAAATAAAAAAAATATAAACCAGAAAGATGAAGAAATTGCTTTAGTTTTCCTTTATTTTTTTTTTGTTGGCTTACTCTGTGAAAATCAAAAAGAAATTTGCTAAAGGAGAGTAACGTCATTGATGTTAAAGAACTTGAAGAATAATATGCTTTTTTATGCACATCCATAGAATATTTATTGACGTATGGATTGCGAGTGCATAAATTAAGCAAACCGAATAACATGAATGTTATGTCAATTATCGTAATGAATTTGTAATTTCGAAAATAATTTGTAATTATGCGTTAAGTGAGTCAAAGCGTTTTTTCTTTTTTTTTTTTTCGCCCTTCCGATTTAAATGCTTGTGCATATCAATC